CCCCTCCCCCCCTCCGACACAGCGTCGTCGCCAACACCTATGCCGACGAGATGACCCCGAAGCAGTGCCTCGATGCCCACAAGGCCACGGTCAAGTACATTGAGAACCGCTTCCCGGCCGACGAGCAGCGCGTCTTCGGCGTCAACACCGATGCCGAGGTGCATGCTCTCCTGCGGGCCCTGTCGCAGACCCTGCCGCGCGCGGTCACCTGGCGCGAGATGCGCCCATACATGCTGGTCGAGCGCTTCGTCCCGTACATCCAGTCGCCGGATTCGACCACCGCCTCGGTTAAGATGTATGGGTACCTTCGCGGCTGGCCGATGGCCGCCACCCAGCTGGTGCACATTCCCAACGCCGGTGACTTTGAGATCTCCCGCATCGAGTCCGCCCAGCCCAACGGCCCGGCCACGCAGTTGTGCGTCCTTGCTTGCCTGTTCCCCTTTCCTTTCGCTTTCCGACGCCTCCCCCTGCCCATCCTTGCTGACTCGCCGCGTCCACGCACGGGCTGGCCGTCGCACTGCCCGGTAGCGACCCGATTGTTGGCGATGTCCCGGAGGAGGTGGGCTTCGACGTGCTGGATGCCTCAAAGCCGGAGGACCGCGATGACATGATCGAGGTGAACACCGTGATGGACGAGTTCGACGAGCAGAACAACCTCGGTGATGAGGACGAGGTGCGCCCATGCTCGCACGGGCCTTCGCGGGCGATCTGCACCCTCCCCCCCACTCCCCCTCGGACGACGTCTTGACTGACACGCGCCTCCCCCATCCCTCTTTCTCCTCCCCTCTTGGGATCCCGGCAGTTTGGCGACCACGAGGACTTCGGTGGCTTCGTGGACTCGAGCCAGTTCTCCGCCAACGAGGTGTTCGATGGTGAGGACTATCGCAAGAGCCGGACTCGCCGCGTGCCCAAGGGCATGTCTTCCTACCAGGCGGCCTGGATTGTGGGTGCGTGACCTCCGGGCACACATGCCGAGTGGTGTGGGCAGATGCACGCCGGCCAACGCCCACTTGCAAGGGGGCGGCTCCCCCCCCCCCCCACCGCCACCACCACTCACACTCATATGCGTGTGTCCCCCCCGCACAGACTCCGACTTCGAGGACGGCAGCGAAGATGACGAGGACCTCGTCTCGTACCAGGCCAAGGCCCCGACCGGTGGCGACCATGTCCTCCCCGGCGAGGAGCTCGGCGACTACACCCCCCATGAGCAGGAGGAGCTGGACAATGTGGTTGTCGAGGACCGCCACGTGGCCACGGACCTTTCTCCGGAGGAGGAGAAGCGTCAGCTGGATCTCTTCCTGGCCCAGCGCCAGGAGGAGCGCTCGGCCCAGATCGAGGCGGCCGAGGATGACCTGCACTTCCCGGACGAGATCGACACCCCGCTGGGTGTCCGCGCGCGTGATCGCTTCAGCAAGTACCGCGGTCTGAAGAGGTGCGCGCACGGTGGCCCATCCTCCCTGGCCGGCTGCTCCTTGCCATGCCACCTGTGCCATGCTGCGCCTTTGCTCGCGCGCCGGTGCTGACCCCATGCATCTCGCCACACTTCGCACGCACACATGGGGCATCCATCCATTCGGCAGCTTCCGCCACTCTCCGTGGGACGCCTTCGAGAACTTGCCGGTGGAGTACTCGCGCATTTTCGACTTCGAGAACTTCGCCCGCACCCAGCGCCGCGTCATGCAGGAGTCCGCCGAGTTCCCGGTGTCCCCCTTCGATTATGTGGCCATCACCGTGGAGGGGGTTCCCCTGTCCTTCCTGGAGGAGCGCCGTGCCCTGGACGACCTGCCCGTGACCCCGGTCCTGTCGCTGTATGGTCTGCACCGCCATGAGCGCAAGCTGTCGGTGCTGAACTTCGCCCTGACCCGCCACTCGGCCTCCGGGGACCACCACATCGCCAACAAGGACGATGTGGTGATCGTTTGCGGCCCGCGGCGCATCACCGGCCGGCCGGTTTTCTCGGACGATGGCGGCGGCGACAAGCACCGGATGCGGCGCTTCCTGCAGCCGGCCTTCTCCGGCAGCGTGGTGGCCTCGGTCATTGCTCCGGTCACCTATCTGCCGGCCCCGGCGCTGTTCTTCCACGACCAGGGCCCCGGCCGTGTGCCTATTCTCCTGGCCACCGGGTCCCTGCGCGAGGTGAACCCCCGCCGTGTGGTGGTCAAGCGCATTGTCCTGACCGGTCAGCCGTTCAAGGTCCACCGGAACACCGCCACCGTGCGGTACATGTTCTACACCCCGGAGGATGTCCGCTGGTTCAAGCCCGTGCAGGTATGTACTGACTGGTGGTGGTGGGATATGCTGTACAGAATCGCGTGTGTGTGTGTGTGTGTGTGAGGGGGACTTTTCCCGCCTCCTCCTGCTTGGGGCTTTCGCCGGTGTGCCCAATTGTGTCCCATATGTGACCTCATATTAACCATAGTACCACCCTTTGGGTTTGCACTGTGTGCCCCCCCCCCCCTCCTCCGACACACACACACATGGACATCTGTGCATGCCCAGCTCTACACCAAGAACGGTCGCATCGGTCATATCAAGGAGTCCCTCGGTACTCATGGCTACATGAAGTGCTTCTTCAATGGGCCTCTCAAGACCCAGGATGTGGTGTGCATGAGCCTTTACAAGCGCGTGTTCCCCGTTTGGCGGTCGGAGTCCTTCACGTATGACCGCATCCGTGCGGCCGACGCCGAGGATGATCCCGAGGACGAGGAGGACGATGGCGAGCGTATGATGGTGGCTGGTGACGATGACGGCGGCGACCCGATGCTGGCCGATGACCTGACCATGGCCATGGACTCCGACTAAAAAGGTGGCCTCCTCCCGCCGGCGGGGCGGTACTACTACCACCACATGCATGTGTCCATGCGTGCCATGGCATGTATCTGTGTGGTGTCCCCTCGCGGAGGAGGCCCATGCCGATAGACGCGGCCTCCTCCCCAAAAGACATACTTGTGCACACACACACGCACACGCCGCTTTCCAGATCTACCTCCCCCACGACGCATGTGCATGCCCTGCCGCCGCTGCATCTCCCCCCTCCCCCCCATGCTAAACGCGCATGTGTACGGACTTATGCCACCCATCATTCCTAGCTGTGAAATATAAAACACCAACTCATGCGCATACATACACGCACACACGCACCTACGCATAGGCAAATGGTCGAGCATCCGTCAAGGGGATATCCCCCGTTCGAAGGCACGGGAGGCGAGGCAAGGGACGCGAAAACCCGCAGCCGGGAACGAACAGACATCCCGTGGGCAGTGGAGGCGTCCATGTGCTTTTGTTTTGACATGTGACGCACCTCCGAAAGAGGGAGGGTATCTCCGAACACAGAGAGGGGTCCGCGGGCGGTCGCAGTGGGCTTCCGGTTCAAAGGTGTGCTGCGTCGCGGCTCTACCCCAACAAGGTTGGCCCATCCATTGGCAACCGCATGCGGCCGAACAAATACCAGCGCATGGGATGGCACCTCAGTGGTCCGTTGGTCTGACAGGGTCTGACTCCTTTGGAAGCTAAACCCCGATTTCGTGGCGCGGCCATGGAGGAAATGCCCAACTTGGATGTGTAAGCTGGTGACTGGTCTCTGGGGCGGTAAATGTGGATGAGTTGATCAGATTCAGTTGACACACACCAGAATGCGCCTCAGATATTCTGGTGCAGGGGTGATGGGGGGGGGGGGGGTTGAGCGAAAAGGTCCATTGGGATTTTGGACCTTATATGTGAGGGGGCATTTAAAAAGCGGCCTTTCCTGCGTCGGGCCGTCGTGACTGGTTGGGCTGGCGGGGGGGGGGGGGGGCAAAACAGGGAGATGATGCCCAAATACCAGAGGGGAAGGGCGTGCGCGGGTGGTCCTCCTTGTGCCAGCCTTCTGGTGGTGGATCTTTTCGGCCATGAGTGCAGGGGGCGGGACGCAGCCCGCGGGTGATCGCCCCGCGCCCCCCCTCCCCCCCACTTTCTTTCCGTCTTGCTCCGCCTGGGGCAGATTTTCGGGCCTGCCCGTTGGGTGGGGAGCATGAGGAGGGCCTGAGGGGGAAGAACAGGCGAAGGACGCCGTGTGTGTGTCGGCGATGTGGACAGGAGTGCGAGGACTCGAGGCGAGCCAGCGGGGCCGGGGGGGGGGGGGGGGGGGCGGCCGGGGGAATGGATGCACCCTCTCGTGCCCTGATTGAAACAGTCTAGAAAACTCTCCCCAGAGGGCATGTGCGTGCACCGCGTGGGCGTGTGGCAGGGAGGGCCAGCCGCGACGTGAGGGCCGATTGCGCGCATGTGCACGCTGTTTACCCGAGGCCGCGGGGGGTAACGAGGCTGGAGTCTCGGAAGGGGGCTCACCCGGGCGCTGGGTCGTGTCTTCCTTTCCCTCGAGGCCTTTTCCTTTCAGCGCGCGGGCACGCGCCCCCCCCCCCCCCTGCGCCCCGTCTCCTTGTCAGCTCCATTCTCCCGGCCGGAGTTACGGGGGGAGGGGCGCGCAGTCGGGCAAGGTCCCTTTGACAGCCTGGCCAGCCTTGGGAGGAAGGGCGGGGCTGGCCCGGGTGGCCATGGCAATGGCTCGCAACCTCCCGGGCTGCTGTCCCGCCCCCCCCCCCCCCCCCCCCCCCCCCGGGAGGCCCCGGTTGATTCCCCCCGCCCGAGCCTGGTGGGCGCGCGCGCGCGCGCCCGGGCAGGGGGCGCCGAGGGGGAAGGGCCCAGGAGCTTTGAACGCGCATCATCGGGCCTGCGGGGGCAACCGCGACGTGTGTTGTCCCTCTTTCGGCCCGGGCCTGTCCTCTGTCCCTCTCCCCCCCCCCCCCCCCCCCCCCCCCCCCCCCCCCCGGCCTAGAGCGGTACAAGCGAGCCAGCCAGCCCCAAGAGCGACGCCTACCCGCCCTCTTTTCCAAGGACGGGGGGGGGGCAGGAGAGAGGCGCACATGGTCCGAAGAGTTCCCGCGCCCCCGGTTGGCCCCCCGTGTGCCAGGCGCGGTGCCCGCCTGCGCGCCTCTGGCTTCCTTTTTTCCCTGCGTTTGGGGGCGCGGGCGCCCGGTCTGAGGGCGCGAGGGTCGGGGCTGCTGGGTGTTCTTCCGGGTCCCCGCCAGGGCCGTGTAACTCCGATTAGGATTGCACCCTGCATTTGGCGGGTCCCACGTCCCCCCCCCCCTCCGCTGTCCCTTGACCTTCCGTGCCCGGGGCGGGGCTGAGAGTCCACAATGGCCCGCATTTCACCCTACCACCAGCAGGGCTGACCCACTCTCAGCTCACGCCTTCCCAACGGTCCATCTTTCTCCCCATCCCCCCTGGAGGGAGGGGGGCTGGACGCCAGAGCGGGGAGACAGGTACCGACGCCGGTATCATCACTGGACGGGGGGGGGGGGAGGGGGGCGGGGGGCGACAATGGGTCCAGGCGGACGCGCGGTGGGCGGGTACATGTGGCCGCGCGCCCTGGCCGCTGGCAGCTGTGGCCCCACGGCGGCCACCTGCCCATGATGGCCGAGGGTCAGGGCTGCCGCGCCCGGTAGAGGGGGCGCGCGCGCGCACCTCCGCCCGCCACGGGGTGTCATATTGGTACACCCAGGGGGGGGTGGCGGCGAACGTGAGCGTGCGCACTCGCGCGCGCGCGCTCGCGCGTGCGGAGGACCGGCTACCGGGGACGGAGCCCCCAGCCACGCTTGTCCTGCCGCTCCTTGCTGCCCCCGGCCCCCTCCCGGGCCGGGGCTGATATCCCGGCCCCTGTGTAATGTGGTCTGACAGAGGCGGGAATGTGAGAGCGCCCTCGCCCCCCGACCCCCGCTCGGGGGAGGGGGGGAACCACCACGCACACGGGTGGTGTGCGTGGCTCCCCCCCCCCCCCCCGACGGAGCCCCCAGCCACGCTTGTCCTGCCGCTCCTTGCTGCCCCCGGCCCCCTCCCGGGCCGGGGCTGATATCCCGGCCCCTGTGTAATGTGGTCTGACAGAGGCGGGAATGTGAGAGCGCCCTCGCCCCCCGACCCCCGCTCGGGGGAGGGGGGGAACCACCACGCACACGGGTGGTGTGCGTGGCTCCCCCCCCCCCCCGTGCGGACCCGACGTGGCTGGCTCTCTCTTGGCCCCACGCGCGCCCCCGCCCCTCCCCAGCGCCCGGCGAATTGAAATGTCGGCAGGTCACACGTAGCTCCCCCACCGCCAGACCTACGCACAGTTGTCGAGGTTCGTGCTCTCTTCTTCCCCCTCCCCCTCCCCCTCCTCTTCCCTCTCCCTCCTGCTCCATTCGCCCTCGAATGCCTGCGCGCGAGCGCGCTCCCCGCTGGCTCCCCCCTCCCTCCCCTCTCCACAGACGCCCTGTCGGTGTCACTGGCTTCTCGTGGAGAGCCCCCCTCGGGAGTGTCGGAGAGCCGCCCTGTGCCCACAGGCGGCGACACTGGATTCTTCTCTCTCCCTCTCCTCTTCCCCCATCTCCTGCTTCACACCAATGCAGTATATATCACCCCATGTCGGTGATTCTCCCCCTCTCCTCTCGGCTCCCCCACGCAGTCGACTCTCCTCCCTAGCGCGTGACTGGCCTGACGGGAGGCATGTCTGTGTGTGTGTGTGTGCGCGCGCGCGCACGCGCATGTATATGGTGTCGGTGGGGAGCGTGACCCATTCTCCTCCACCATCGGGCGCCCGCGCTCGTACACCCTCGCACACATACACGCCTCGCTTCCCGGACCGCCTGCCGCGCCTCACAGGGACATGTCGCACTCCCTCCTATCTCTCTCTCTCTCTCCCTCCCTCCTTTCTTGGCACTTGGCTTCGCACCCCTCACCAATCCTGACATTCCTGTGTTCTCCCCCTCCTCAGCAGATTCTCCCGAGCATTTGTCGTGTACCTGTCACCATGTCCAATCTCCCCTCTGCCCAGCCCTCCTCCAACCCCGACGTGCCCACCTTCAAGGTGTGTCTCTATCTCCCCCTTCCGCCTGTGTTACTGCTGCCATCATCACTGTTGTTGTCGCTGCTGCTGCCATTTCTCCCTTGATCCTTGTCAGCAGAGCCCCCTCTCCCTCCCCAACTGACCGGACACTTACCCGCTCGTCTTGTCGCCTTCTTTCCCCCCCTCCCCCATAGCTCGTCCTCCTCGGTGATGGTGGTACCGGCAAGACCACCTTCGTCAAGCGTCACCTGACTGGTGAGTTTGAGAAGAAGTACATCGCCACCCTCGGTGTCGAGGTCCACCCTCTCGGCTTCCACACCAACCGTGGCCCCATCTGCTTCAACACCTGGGACACCGCCGGTCAGGAGAAGTTCGGTGGTCTCCGTGATGGTTACTAGTGCGTCCACCTATCGCGGGGAGCCCCCCCCCCTCTCTCTCTCTCTTCCTTTGCTGCCTCTCCATCCATGCATGTGCATCTTGCCCATGCTGTCGCACTCGCCTTCTGGACAGCCGTGGGGGATGGCCAGCGCCCTGTCTCCCCTCTCCTCCTCTCCCGCGCCCGCGCCACCCGTTGTGTTTCTGACACATGCACAAACGTGCTTTCTCTCTCTCTCTCTCCTCCCCTCCCAGCATCAACGGCCAGTGCGCCATCCTCATGTTCGATGTGACCTCCCGCATTACCTACAAGAACGTCCCCAACTGGCACAAGGATCTGTCTCGTGTTTGCGAGAACATCCCCATCGTCCTGTGCGGCAACAAGGTCGACATCAAGGACCGCAAGGTTAAGGCCAAGAACATCACCTTCCACCGCAAGAAGAACCTCCAGTACTACGACATCTCTGCCAAGTCCAACTACAACTTCGAGAAGCCCTTCCTCTGGCTCGCTCGCAAGCTCGTCGGCGACCCCCAGCTCGAGTTCGTCGCTGCCCCGGCCCTGCCGCCTCCTGAGGTCACCATCGACCCGGAGCTCATCCGTCAGTACGAGAACGAGATCATGATCGCCGCTTCTCAGCCCCTGCCTGATGAGGACGACAACGACTTCTAAATGCGCGTGTTGTTCCCTCGCCGCCGTGGCCCTCTCCCCCCCACAATGCGGCATGCCGCGCGCGTGGTGGCACTTCCCCCCTCCCCTTGTTCAGAGCCCTCCCTCGAGAGTCCCCCCCCCCCCCACTACACACCTGCCTTTCGTGCCCTACGCGTGCGCACGCACACTTATCAGCACGTTACACACATAAACAAGCCTCCCTGGTTCATGGTGCCGTTTTGCTGCTGTGCCCGCGGCGGCGCTTGCTTTTTATCCTCCTCCTTTTCGAAGAGCGTGGCAAGCCGCGCCAGGGGAGGCGGGCGGAGGCGAAGTGGGTCATGTACATCGCTGTCACCCTAGACTGTCAGGCACATCCTTCGGGTGTGTTGCGCTGTGTGCACGACCGTCTTGTCCTCTGTCTCTGGTGTCTTTCTTTTGTTCCGCCTCTCTGTCCCCGTGCTTTTTTGCCCGCTTCAAAAAGGAGGGAGGGGCCCGCGGACTTGGATGGCATGTGTGTGTGTGTGTGTGTGTGTGTGTGTGCATTGGTTGTTTATGCGGAGGGTGCAGAGAGGAACACAGGAAGACTGTCCTACTCGCCACGCCAGACGGGCGTCCCGTCGCAAGCGCAGATGAGGCGCGGATTCTCGCCGGCTCCGGCAGACCGGGCCACCACGGCGTACGTGGCTGCCGGCGAGGTATTGGTGGGCCCGTCGTCGTTCTGGCGCGCAGGAGAGGGTGTGGATCCGCATGCCGAGGTTGGTTAGGGGTCACTCGAGCAGGGTGCAAAGGCGGGGCGCAGGAGAGCATGCTCTGGGGGGAGGGGGGGACACATACCGGCAACGTATGCAAGACCACCACATATCCAATGAAGTCATTGATCGACAGACTAGCTGTCGAGGGGGGCGATAGACCATCGAATTGGATGCGTCCTTCGGCGTCGGAAGTGGCATTGAGCAGCTTGCCAACGGGTCTGCGTGGGGGAGAGGCCGATGGCGAGCAAGAGGGACCAAGAGAGATAGATGGGGGATTCCATGAGCAAAAGTCAGGCACATGCACAAAGGACAGGGGGAAGGGGGCGAATACACACACACACACACACACACACACACACACACACACACACACACACATGAGGGCACAGAGGTTAAGGGGAGCACATACTGCGAATCAATGAGCAGACAGTCGCCAGCGCGCAGAGGGGCCGCGGAGTCGCGCACGTCACCGGTCTCATGCACCATGAGACCATAGGTGCGGTTCGGTGCGAGGCCATCCACCCGGACATGCAGCAGCAGCCGATCCGGGGTGTGTTGCGTGGCACGGAAGATGCCCTTGGCCGGCGTGCCGGCCGGCGGCAGGGCCGGCCACCAGAGGTCCGCTCGCGTGTCGAAGCCAAGGACATTCTCCCCGAGGTAGGACCCAGCTGCGTCGGTCTTGGAAGGAGGGGGGCCTGTCGGGATGGCGGGCCACTCGGCGTACTTGAACTCGGCAACAATGGCGCCATCCGCGTGGGAGGTTGACCGGCCGGATGGCCGGACCTCCAGCTCCTCCTTGGCCAGGGCAGCCACCATCAGGTCCTCAAGCGTCTGGAGGCCGGCCGAGCTGCTGTCATCGGCCAGGACGTCCAGCACAACGCGCACACGCTGGGCAGGGAGTGACACGCCGATGGCCACCGGCGTAAAGACCACCCGACTGGCCTCCGGAGACTGGAGGATGGATGTAAGAGCCCGGCGCGCCAGCCCCGAGCAGCTCCCACAACGCATGGCCACTGCGAGGTCGATCTATGTATCACAGGCGGATGAGGTGAGCGGGACCGCACGGCAAAGTAATGTCGTGCTTGTGCGTGTGTGCGTGTGTGCGTGTATGCAGGAGAGGTGTGGAGAGAGAGAGAGAGAGAAAAGCACATGGTAATCGGGACACGCACCGTGACCCGAGTCATGCCAGGGAGTGGTGGAGATGCGGCGGCGGCCTGTTCCTCGGGCCCGTAGTCGAAGATAATGCCCGTGGTGAGGGCGGCGCTTTCGCCAAGGGTGGCGGCCTGCACGAGGTCGTGCGGCTGGGACGATGAGGCAGACATTCCCACAGTACTCGACTGTGTCCGGGGGTCAGCAGGGGGCTGAAGGTTAGAAGGAGGCGTGGCAGAGAGGGCGAGCGGCCGATGGAGGTGCGCCATTCCCCAGCAACCGGGGGAGGGGGCTGGCCGAAGGGCAGACTGCTCGCCGGCCAGCCAGGCCCCGCCGGCAAGGAGCCCGGTCACGGCAGCCACACCAAGGGCCAAGTGGCGCGGGGTGGCCGACTTTGGCCGATTCACAAGCGCCTGTGAGAGGAGCCCCCTACACCGGTGGGCGGTGGCCCGCGAGCGCAGCAGCAGCATCATCATCGCTGGTGAGGCGCGTCCGGTGGTGAGCGAAGCCGTCCAACACGGGCAGGAGGAAGGGGCGACAGGGGAACGAACCTTGTTTGGCTGTGTGGTAGGAGGGGTCGGGAGGGGGAGGGGGATGTGTGTGCGGAGGGATCGGATGAGAGGGGTGAGGGAGAGATGTCTGGAGGAGAATAGATGGTTGGATGCTCGGGGTGTTGTCCTTCCACCGGAGGCGGCACTTATGCCGTCCCATGCACCAGGGACGGGGGGGGGGGGGGCAGGACGAGAGCATCGGGAGGGTTAGCAGTGCAGGTCGATCTTGGGCCCGGTTGTTGAGAGGCGATTGGGGGACTAGGCGCCGATCGGATCGGGGCCAGGAGGAGGGAGGTGGGGGGGTTCGTTGGCAAGCGAGAAAGGGTCGCTCCCGCTCGGGGGGACAACTGCCCAGCGGGCTCCAGGGGGCGGGGGGTCGTCCCCCCCCCCCCCCCCCACACCGCAGCTGGACGACGTCGCGTGCCGCGGCCGGAGCCGCTTGCGCGCGGCCAGGCGTCCCGCGCCGGCCCGGCCCCTGAGACCGGGAGAGACGTCGGTGTGCCTCTCCTGGCGCTGCATGTAGCTGACGGACCCGGCAAGCATGGTCGCTGCCCCCCGCCCCCCCCCCCCCCCCCCAAGGGGCATGCAAGCAGGCAGAGGGAGGGGGGACTGAGAGAAAGAGTGTGAACGCGCCGGGCCCAATCCCGGGCGTCTACTGCGGTCGGTGGCGGCCCCCTCGCCCGCTTGCGCGCCACAGCACCCCGGCCCAACGCGGAGGGCTGGCTGCCATGCTGCGAACACCGGGCCAGGTGGCGGCCACCACACACGGCCACGGTCCCAAGGGGCTGAGTAAGCTGTGGGGCGGCTATTATCTAAATCGGCAAGGAGGCATCGCGACCTTTCGCCCCCTCCGGAAGGGGTCTCTCAGTCTCGGACTTTCTTCCTGAAAGGGGGGGGGGGGGGGGGGGCGGGTGCCCCTCTGGCGCCTTTGTTCCGTGGGTCCTCGCCAGTGGATGCAAATGAGCGTCCGCGGATGAGGCGGGAGCAGGGCTGTGCCGCGGGCGCGGGTGGTCAAGACGCGACACTCACGACAAGACCGGGAGGATACCAACGGATCATGGTCATGTGTTTATGCGCGTGGTACCAGTGGCACATGATTACACACCGTGCCTCTCCGGCTGCCCATTCCCGTTCGCCCGGAGCTAGTTCCCGACGGAGCGATATGCCCAGCCTTCCGATGGGGGACGATTGGCCTGTACAGGCCCCGGCGGGGCTCTTCCTGCAGCGACGGTTGGTGGCCAGATCCCGCCAGGCCGACTGGACAAAATGTGCGGGAGAGGCCCGGGAGAAACCCGCCAGAAAAGGAGGATCTGCCTTTGCAGCACCCGGTCTGTTAGGGTGCATTCCTTGCCGGTGGCCGGGCGAGGGGCGGGACAAATGGAATGGCGGGTTATCCCGCGCGCCCCGCGTTCTCTTTTCGGGGGAGGGCGGCGGCCGTTCGCCTAGGTCGCGCGCCCCGGCCAAAGCATGATGAGGCCGGAGCTGACTGAATAATAATATTACCCCGCGCCGAGCGTCCCTTGGTTTCCCCCCCCCCCCCCCGCCTCGCCCGTCCTGGGGGAAAAACACGGGCGGAGTGGGAAATAAAGTGCCCAAAAACCGGCCACCCGCGCCTAAACGGTCCGCCGCGGCGGCCCGGAGGCGCTGAACCTCCGGAGGTGTCTCGTCACAATAAGGCAGATTAAGCCCTCATCATAACATGCTCCCCCCAGCCCAGGACACAGATGACCGCTGTGCAACGCCCGCCGAGCTGGCTAGTTGAACAGAGGCAGAGGGGGCCCACGACCAGGCGCCCTCGGTCGCAGCATATATGCCCCCGCGGCATTCTTGTCATTCCTCCCTCGACCGGTGGTAGACAAGTCCCTGGGAGGGGGGGAGGGGGGTCCCAACTCTCGCCGGCTTTCCTTGTCGCTCCTTCTCTCACCCCCCGCGTCTTTGTTGCTCCTCTTGCTCTCCCGTCCCTTGCACCGGCGGCGGTGACCCCCACGATCCACCGGTGGGACTCTTCCCCGGTGTCTGCGCTGCCCCCCTCGACTTAAGGGGGAGCGCCCGCAGACCCGAGAGGACCCCCCACTGAGCATGCCCGGCCCGGGAGCCGGGAGGCCGTAACTCCCGCCTCCTCGGCAGTCGGGACGATGACCGGAGGTAACTGAAAACAGTGCCCATAACCTGTCCCCAACAGACCCGGGGGGGGGGGGGGGAGGGCCCGGGGCTGGCGAGAACGGGGCGGGGACACCCGTACGCACTGGCGTGCGAGCCGGTGTTTACATGCACTCGCCCTACTGGAGGGGGTGGGGGGGGGGCGGGGGGCGGACGGAGGGAGGCCCCGGGGGAAAGGCCCATACGCCGGGGGGAGGGTGCAGGAAACCCCGCACTCCCCGCGCCTGGTGGTCGGCCTGCCCCCGTTCAGGGGAAACGGCCCGCCGAGGAGGGGGGCCGCCACAAACACACTTTTCCCTGGCCACAGCAATCTGCCCAGGGCAGCATGCCCGCGCCTCATCGCATTCTCCGCTGCCTCACCGCCGCATCCCCCGCCCTGCCCCCCCCCCTCTGATTGCCCCCTGCGCATCGCCTCCTCCTTCCTTCTCTCCCTCTCCCCCTGTCCCTCTTTCTCCCTCTCTCTCTCCGCCCCCCTTTTCCGATCAGCATAATGGCCCCTCCCCCTCCTGTTGCCAAGCGCGGCTCTGGCGTCCGCGTTGTCCGCGCCATGTATGACTACACTGTACGTCTGCCCCATTTCCAGATCGCGCCCCCTGCCTCCCGGCCACTGACCCACCGCATCCAGGCTGTCCGCTCGGATGAGCTCTCCATCAGCGAGGGCGATCTGCTGTATGTCCTTGATGCCTCCGGCGAGTGGTGGCTCTGCCGCAGCGGTGGCCGCCAGGGCCTCATCCCCTTCAACTACGGTACGTGTCTCTCCCCAATGCATCCCCCCCTCGCCAGGCGCCGAATATCTGACATCCTGTCGCCTCACCACCCGCGCAGTTGAGGAGCATGCCGAGACTGTTGAGCACCCCCTGCACGAGGCCGCGAAGCGTGGTGCGTCTCCGCGACACCCCTTGCCCCCTGGGCGCCCCTTTTTCCTCCCTCTCCCCTTGAGAATGCGCGCCCTGGCATACTGATGCTGGACACACGCACACGCACACCCACACATGCGCGCGCGCGCGCGCGCGCTTCCCTATGGGATCCATTCATATGCACACCCCAGGTAACGTCGAGCTCCTGAAGGAGGCTCTCGAGGTCGGCCTGTCGGTCAACACCCTCGACCACTCCGGTGCCACTCCTCTTCACTGGGCCTCTCGCGGTGGGCACGATGAGGCTGTCCGTCTGCTCCTCCAGCGCAAGCCGGTCCTCGATGTCAAGGTATGCTCGAGCCCACGGCACGCCCCCGCCCTTTGCCCACCACTGCCCATGTACACTTTGCCACCGAGCCTGTCTGACACTCGCCATACCGGCTCGCCCCCCCCCCCCCCCCCCCCCCCCCCCCCCCCTGCCGTTGTAGAACAAGCTTGGCGACACCCCCCTCCACATGGCTGCCTGGGGTGGTCACCCGGCCGTCATCAAGACTCTGCTTGAGGCCGGCGCCGCGCGCGACCTCCTCAACAACGAGGGTCAGTCGCCATACCAGCTGGCCAAGTCCCGGTCTCCTGAGGCCGCCGCCCTGCTCCAGGTCATTCATCTCAGTGCGTGATCCCGGGGCGCCCCTCGTGCCTTCCTTCTCTCTCTCTCTCTCCCTCCCTCTCTCTTCCCGTCTTCCGGCGGTCCACCTCGCTAACTATCTGCGCACGCTCCACTCGCCCATGCGGCCAACACCCCCAGACCATGGCGATGTTGACTCTGGCGACGAGTCTGATTAAAGGCCCGCACGCCGGTGCGCGCGGACACCTGTCCTGTGCCTCACCCAAGTACACCCCATATTCATATACACCCATTCCCACACACGCACACACACACACACATACATACCCTGTGCTGTCCATTCTCCCCTGCGGGTCGAGGACTTGCAAGATCCCGGCACACAGTTCGTGCCCGGCAGAACCAGATACACATGCGTGCACGCACGCAAGCACGCACATGTACACATACATAATACGTTCATGTAAACGCGAAGATGGCACGTGTGCCCAGGTGTCTGGTTGATTCGCCTACCGCCATCGAGAGATGGACATCCTTCGGCCGCTGCTGCTCCGGGCTGGAAGGATTGTCTCGGGGAAATATAGGCATGTGCCCGTGGGAAAGAAGGCCACCGAGGGTGGCGAGGGGCGGGGGAGCAGGGAGTGAAAACCGGGGTGCGCGAAACCCCTTGCCTTGGGCTAGGTGTGCTGTTCACTGCGAGGGATTTGCACGCAATCGGTGTGTATGTGTGTGTGTGTGTGTGTGTGTCCTTGCACCTGGCGATGATCTCGCGGCCCGATCGAGGTGCCTGTCTGCAGCCGGACGTCTTGTCCCCCCCTCCTCAGTCCTGTGGCAGTGGCTCTGGGGCGGGGCCTTATCCATGGCACCTGCCCCAGTGTACATGCGTGTACGTGTGGGTGGTCGGTGCGGGTGAGGAATGGGAAGAAAAAAAAAGCGAAAAACAGCCTCGACAGCTTCACACACATAGCACTCCGGGAGGTGGCGGGTGTGGGGCCGGCTGCTCGGAAGAGAGGATATCATGTTGCCTAGTGTCGGTGTGATATACATGTCGTGACTTCTCTCATATGTTCTTCATTTCTAGAATGGGGCCTTTCGGATTTGGTCGGGGAGATAGAGCCCAGTATCTACTTGCCTGCCCGCCTTATCTCGCCCCGGGGGAGGCAGAGAAGACCTTCTTGGTCTGGCCCGAAGTCTGCCCCCCCCCCCCCCCTCCCCTCTCCCGCGCCTCGCGCCCGGGGGGGAGGAGGAGGATGCGGCCGCCGGGTGAATGGAGCGGTCTCTCGGGCGGGGAGGGAATTCCGCGAAGTCGACTGCTCCCCACACCGGCGGCCGGGGTGGCCCAGGCCTGCCGTGCTGGTGGGGGTGAGTTCCGCCCGTGTTGAACGGCCACCCATTGAGGGTTGTCCCAAGGCAGCAGTAGCAACCAACCCTCGTCGGATCCCGCAGTGGACCAGCGATGGAGCTTCCTGGCCGTGGCCCCCAGGGAGGTGCTCTATTAGAATGCCATGGGCACCTCGGCCACCGAGGGGCGAGGGCCCGAGCACAAGCCCGGCGGCCGGCGTGCGTCGTCCGATATCCGCCGCCGCGGACGTGCTCGGGACATTCCTCACCCCCCCCCCGGGCTCGGAGGCGCGGGCGAAGCGAGGTGCGCCCTCCGCGGAAGCAGTGAGCACAATCGGCCCCTTTTTGCACGGGGATCACCGCCAGGGGACAAGGAGGAGCAGCAGGAAGGAAGGCATTCCCCAGGGCTCAGCCCCCAGGCCGGCCTGGCAGCCAGCCAGGAGGGGATGAAAACAGATGACTCCATCCCTTGTGTGCGTTCGTGCAGGTCTGAGGACCCGGGGGGGGGGGGGGGGGGCCAGTACCCAGTGGGCAAAAGTATCGGACCGAAATCCCGCGCTAGCGCTGGGGGGCCGCCCAATGGGCGCCCCGACCGTGTGGCTGCTTGTCGGGGAGGAACCGCACCCTACCCCGATCGGATTGCACGCGGCCGGGGGCCAAAGTCTGGAGCGGGATATCTGGGCCTGGGAGGGGAAGGGGACAAGGCCGGAGGCTGGGGGGGGAGGCTCCTGGCCCAGCGCCAGCCATGACTGGCTGTCCTGGAGAGGTCGTGTCGTGAATGTCAAGCTGATCGCAGCCGACCGAACTCAGGCAGAGCTCTTGGCCACACGCACACGCACACGCACACGCACACACGCACACACGCACACGCACACGCACACGCACACGCACACTCACACCGCCGGGAGGAAGTGATCGGCTCTCGAGTGTGCCCGTGCCAGGTGAGGAGGCAGCCCGCCGCCTGAGCGGGGCCGAGGAATTCCCCAGCCGCCGGGCGCCTGTACTGGAAAAGCGGCCTAAACAAAGGGAGTACATGTCGGAAAACGCGAGACGGCTTGGCCAAGGCGCGGGTGTGCACTTGGGTGCCGCCTCCGCCCCCCCCCCCCCGGCCGGGATATTCCCCACCGTTACACGGGCCGGACAATCCCGGCCGGGGGACCTTCCCCGGGCCCGGCTCACCAGCCTCGGAACGGGGGGGCAGTCGCTCTCATGCACGCGCACTCGCGCGCGCGCACACTGCTGTTGCCGCGCAAAGGCATCGGCTCCCGGAGGAGAGCCCCTGGGAACTCCAGGCCGCGCTCCGTGCAGGGGCGTAGCGCGGGGGCGCAGGCCCCCCCGAGAGGGCCTTGGGCCCGGGGGACGCCAGCGCCAAGTTGGGGTGCCGTGGACGAGCCCTGGTGCATCGGCCGCGTCGTTGGGCCGCGGTGTTACACATCCACATTCGCATCCACACACACACACACACACGCGCGCGCGCGCGCGCGAAAACACAAACACACAAACACACCGCAGGGCGCGGCGGCATGCGTGGCGGGTGCCCCAGCCGGGGAGGTCCCAGCGTCTTGGCGGGGCACAGCGCGACGCTGCTGCCGCCCCGGACCCCCTCATTCAGCCCCGGGGGGCATGGAAGGCGCGCGGCTCCCGGCCCCCCCCCCCCTCCCCGCCCAGCCGGGGCTTCCTTTTTCGGCCGGGCGCGCCGCCCCTGAGCCTACTTCTGAGCCCTCGGAGGCGCGACCCCGCCCGCCCCCCCCCCGCTGCCGCCGCCGCCGCGAGACCTCCTCCAGGCCACTCGCCCTTCCCCTCGAATCCCCCAACGGGGACGCGAAGGGCCGGCAGGAAGTTGACAAATCGCCCCAAGCCCCCGAGCGGAGGGCCAAGAGGACGGGGAAGGACGGCTCCCTGCCCTGCGGCGCGGCCGTGCTCCCTCGCCGGGGTGGGTCCCTCCGCCCTGGGCGTCCAAGGCCCGCTGACGGCGTGTTCTGGAGCCTGCGAGCCGACGCGCCCCGCGAGCATCCCGCGTACCGCGGCCCTCGCCCCCCCCCCCC